CCCCTAGGCCTTTGGTTGCCCTCCCCCATCCCCTTACCCCCCCCCTCCGTTGCGGCCCGCGTGACAGGAATGACTTGCCATGTGTTCACAAAAAATTAGAGGATGATTAGACTCAGTAGGCCTTTAAGTACGGGCTCTTGCATAATTACTGACCCATGGCTGGAAGAGCACCAGCTCCAGGAAGGATTATTTCCATGTTCAGGATCATATTTTTGCCTGCCATGACCGATGGCACAGTGTGACAGGACATTAATTAAATAATACAAAACTATAAAAAAAATTAAACAAATAACAAAATGTTTTTGTTATTGTGTTGTGCAGAGTTATAGAGTAAAGAAGTGATACTGAGTCTGTACAAAGAAAGCAGTCTATCATCATCATGATACAGCATATCAAGTGAGAAATATTGACTTTGGTAAATGGCAAAAAAGCCAAAAATGCTTATGCAGAAAAAGGGAACATTGTAGACGAGGCAAGGAATTTGGGTATCAAACGAGTTTGTGAGGGCCAGACCTACAAACCACACATTCAAGAGTGTTGCCCAAATTTTGGGCCTGAGGCACCTAGATTCAGTGAGTTAAAGCCTCACATTTGGCAAGTAATTAGAACTGAAAAAAACTTGCACATTATCCTGGACTTGGGACTTCATCTCTGGAGGGTGCATCACTCTCGGTAACAAATACCATAGACCTAGCCAAAAATGTACCTGAACAACTAATTAAGGCATAATTTCTAATGATAGCAAGATATCTGAATTATAAACAAAAAATTCACATATCATAGATCAAAAATAAACATGAGTTCCACTTCTGCAGCCAAAAACATTAACATGATATGAAAGGCAAAAACATGAATATGATATGAAAATTACCTGATGATATAGAAATAATAGAGGCAGAACTTTTTGTAATAAAACAAGGAAATCAGCTATATCCAAAAAGAACAACTTAGCAACATCAGTTATATTTACAGATTCAAAATCTGGTTTACAACTAATATCAAACTTAAAACTAAACAATTATAAACATATTATATTTGAAAGGCAGTGATATACACACTTCCAAACTAAAATACAAGCTGATCATGCCACAAAAAAAAGCGCATAAGTAATCCCATAACCATGCATGACAACACTACCATGAATAAGATCCGCATAACCAGAATTAAAACAACACATACATGACTGAACCAGCACATACACAAAGTAAAAATAGTAAATGGCCCATTGTGTAGATGGTGTCACAACCAAGAAGAAACCATTGAACACATAATACTACAGTGTCTTTGAAATGAATCAAGTTAAACCACCCATCTATAGAATTACTATTCTCCAGTTTTGACCTCTCACCAATAAAGAAGTACTACATTTTAAAACAAACCAAAATCTTCTTGAAAAAAGCAAAACTAACAGATAATATAAGAAAAAGAAACGAAAAAACAGATCTGGTGGACATACACTATACAAGAATATAAAACCCTATAAAAGAAGAAGATAAATATTTTCCGCATATTCTGTCAGTCTCGACGACGCGTAGCTTTTATGACAATTTGAGTTTTGTGGGATGGGAATCAAAATTCAAGAATTACCATATCTACTGTGTCACACTTGTTACACACCGTAATCTTTCCTTCCATCTGAACTGCTAGATGTTCGTCTTTGTTACTGTTACCAGTAAACAAACTTGAACGGAAGCAAATAGGCTTATCAGTTGCCGTGCATGGTTCTGATATCAACCTGAACCCCCAACATTGCCCGTGAAAGATGACAGCATACTAACACTTCTAGCAAGAGGCAGCTGGCCCGCCTTCCCTCCCGCTCGCCTGAATGACCACTGGCTGCTTCCCTTCACTCGCGCCGAATGCCAACTGGCTGCTTCCCTTCACGTCACCGCCTTCCCCGGGCTCGCGCACTCGGCCCAACCGCACTCGCACTCAGCCAGGTGAAATGACATCCAAGGCTCACTACGGGTTTATTAATATTGTTCATATACAATGACCTCGAGGCAATCTTATCATTGGAACAAGAACAATTACTCATCCAACAAAGTTGAAGTCTTATCCAATAGTAGAGATGAGACAAAACAGAAAAGTTATGCTCACCAACCACACATCTCGAAAGGAAATGTATATGTACATGTTTTGTGTTTTTAATATGCACAATAACTGTAATCGCAGATGTTCATCTAAACATTTCTCTGTTGATAATTAATCTTCATTTTTGTAAGACTACATATATATCATGTTTTATATATTTCTTCTTTGACAATATAACACACACACACACGCACGCACACGCACTCAAACACACACACACATATATATAGAGGGAGTGGTAGTAGTGTTTTCGTTTACAGCTGACGTTAACCGCACCGTGTCTGCAGACGAAACTTACCTAATGGTCCGAGGTCGAGCGTTTCAGCTGCATCCTCTGATAACATGAGGCAGGGACTTTATCTGATGCGTAAATGCCGAAATCTGAACAAAAATTGGATGGCTAG